GATTTTGGTCCTATCTGATTTAACTTACCCGCAAATAAAAAGCTGACCAATATGCAGATCCACATCTTCAAAGCCATTGTGTGACTGCACAGGTCTTGTTTGTCACTCTTTATATACCTGGTTGGGAATGTCACCTGCCATGAGGTGTGCCTTCCCCATGAGGCACCCCACATACTGTCCAAACAGTTTTTTGTCTTCATTATAATGGAAGAGACTACAGGAATGTGATTTCTTACATACCCAACTTAGAGACCACTGTCATTACTGTACTGTAGTGTATGTCCTTTAACAGTAGGAATTAAAAGTGTGGATAGATGGTTAAACAAACAGGCAGTTAGATTAAATCAACGTGTAGAGGAATATCAGAATCTTCTTTTGTTTTTTTTTTCATGTGATATCTGGAATTGAAACTTGATTATGCATTGTGATTTTAATGCCCCTTTCACAGTTTGAATAGAGCTCAGTGTTGCACGTGGTTGACCTTCACTTCTTCTGTGTGCCCATCAAAGGTGTGGACAAGCCAGTCGCATATGAGACCTTTGCAAACCCAATATGAAAGAGTGCAAATACCTAACCTGTCCCAGGGTTGAGAAATAGCCAGCAGTGGAACATTTTTACAAGAGGTGACTGAGAGAGACGTGTCTGCTGTCATTGTTTGTGAAACAATTGTGAGTTTAAGCTCCTTGTATGGATAAAAGAGTATTTCAGAGACAAAACACCTCCTGATTACATCACTGGTATCTTGCAGACTAGCTGTTATCATGCGGATGTGACAATATGTGTGTAATATTCAGGCTACTCCTGACACTTATTTATGACTCATTATTTAAAAATACATACATTACTAATGTTAATCAAGTTGATAAGCATATATCTATGTATTATGATGACAGTTGATGTTATGATTAAAGCATGCTTTCATCTTGGTTGCTGAGAACTCCGAAGAAGTCTATTCTCATCTCAACTCACAACATAAACCATCAGTCATTACAATTAAAAATAGCAATTATCAGACTGGGATTTGTTGGGCAGGAAGTGTGGATAAATACGTCATTCACAGATATACTTTCCACAAGCACCTTTACACCGCAACCCATCACTAATGACTGTACTTGTCTTTCAGTACAGTTACAAAAGAAACAAATCTCAACAAAGGTTAGGAAACAATTAAGAATTTCCACTGGCCTGTTGTTGGCATGTGTTATGTAACAACAAAACAATACTACGTGTGTTCATGTTATGGCGGCAATGTTTCCACCTCATCTATCATGTGCAAATATGCATTTTGACGTGTGAGGGGAAAGACCTTTTCAAATGCAGTCATGAAAGATTTTAAAACACAGGATTCTTTGCTCATGGTTAATATTTTTTTACCCTTGTTATCAATGAAACGTTGTTTAACTTTATGCACATTAAGTGTCACATTAGGACATAATGTTCTTTATCATTTAGTACAAAAAGGTTGCGTCTGAAACCCCTACTGTCACTGGGGAACAGAAGAAGAAGTACAGCACTGTCTACTGAAGTGGAATATGTTCTTTATTCAAAAACAGACACACAAAGGAATTAAAAGAATCAGAAGTAGTAGTAAATATTGCCAAGATTATTATTATACCTTTTATAATGAATAATGTGATTACGATATTTTGTTATTATTATTGAAACTGTTTAGGTTATTATTATTATTTTAAGACCAAATTAATTGCATTTCTGGAGGCCTAACATGCTTGAGTGAAACTCTGCACAAAATTCAGCTCCAAAAACAATCCCCTTTATATACAGCAGAACCTTCACCAGATCAACCTGACCCAAAATGACCCAGTAAACAACCCTGAACAAAATCCATCAAATAACCCAGGATAAAATCCAGCAAATAACACTGGACAAAAACCCGGAAAAAATCCAAAGAGAAGGGACTCATTTGCTGATGAAGTTGAGAAGAGAATTCAAGATCGAGGCCCACCTGGATCAGGCTCAGTGGGGGCGCCAGGGAGGAGCTAGGTGGTGCTATAGCTCCCCCTATAATAGCCACAGCACCCCCAAGAAATGTCTGTG